CTGTCCAAGATGGACTGATCTTTAGAGGATACAGAGCAGTCATCCCCAAAAGTCTTCGAAAGGATATGCTCTCCAAAGTTCACATGTCACACATCGGGACAGAAGGCTGTCTCCGCAGAGCCCGAGAGAGCATTTACTGGCCGGGAATGAATGTAGCGATGAAGGACTATGTATCTAAGTGTGACATTTGTCGTTCTAACGACACAGAACAACCCAAGGAACCGTCTCATAATGTACCTGACCAACCCTGGGCTAAAGTTGGTTCTGATCTGTTTGTGTTAGATAATTGCAATTACCTGATAACAGTCGACTACTTCTCAAACTTCTGGGAGATTGACTATCTTCCGGATACACACTTTCCAACAGTGATCAACAAGCTTAAGGGACAATTCGCCAGACATGGTATACCGGATGTCTGTGTCACAGACAATGGACCACAGTATTCATCTGAAGAATTCAGAAAATTCGCCAAAATCTGGGACTTCACTCATGTCACTTCATCACCAGCCTACCCTCAAAGCAATGGAAAGGCCGAGCAAGCTAAAGACAGTGAAGACAGCTAAAAGTATGCTGAAGAAAGCAAAACAGGCTAACAGTGACCCATATCTTGCAATTCTGGACTTTAGAAACACACCAACCCAGGGTATAAATTACAGTCCTGCTCAAAGTCTGATGAGTCGAAGAACCAGAACGCTCCTTTCGACTACAAGAAAACTGTTAAAACCAGAAACTGTGCAGTCATGTCACAAATCATTGTTAGATTTGAAGAAGTAGTCTGCTTTCTACTACAACAGAGGAAGCAAGTCTCTGCCTCCGCTTAACAGTGGTGACATTATTAGAGTATCACCACACACAACAAGTGATAAGTTGTGGAGAAAAGCTAAAGTCGTAGGCCCTGTCGCTGATCGCCCGCGATCCTATGAAGTGATCACCGAGAACAATCAACTGCTGCGACGCAATCGAAAAGATCTGAGGAAGACAAACGAGGCATTAACACCAGCTCCAGTAGAGATGAACCTGTCTTGCCAACGTTCAGTCTCACCCTCGCGGACTGCAGTGCTGCCTCCAGCTCCACTGTCCCCAAAGCTGTCGACTCCGAGGTCTAAACCAAGCAAAGTTACGACCAGATCTGGGATAACTGTAACAAAACCCAAATATCTCAATGACTATGCTTAGAAGGGTTCTGTGCTTAGGATGTGAATAGTGAAAGTTGAACTTTAATTGAAGTTAGTGTTTATACAAAGTTCATGGACTTCAACGTGTTATCCGATACAAGAGAGATTAAGTTTTGTATATGGACACTTAAAGACTGTTAGATGCAAGTGTTATTCTGCTCAGTTATCAGATTTATTGTTTCATGATAAAGAGTGTCCACTCCAGTTTACAGCTTTCAGGGATTTCGTGTAATTATCACAGCGATTTACATAATCTAGTCATCACGATAAGCATATGCTACTGAATAATCTCTTTTCTTATCAAAAGGGAGATGTAGCAAGTAGTCCTACAACTATTATATAAGCACTGCTCATTAGGTCACATGATGACGTCATCAGTGAGTGTGCACCCGGCATTGTAAAAGCACATGGAGTAAAGAACGTTGTAACTCACAACGCCTGGGTTGTTCTTTATAGTGTTAGTTTACTACAAAAGAAGCAAGCTATTCTGCCCAATATGAAGGACACGTTGATGGGATACATACACAGTCGGATTCCTCATCCAGCGACGGCCATAGACTAGCAGCAGGAGTCACATGATACCGGATCATGTCTTCCCGTGCTGAAAATAACCAAAGCAACGTATTCAATACATCATAAATGCATGTACAAAGGAAACTTAATAACCGTATGTACTTGGGGACCGTCCAAAATGTAGCCAGATATAATACTTCCAGACATGCGGATTGTACCATCAGACCATCGGATCAATAGAGACCCTTCTGATAAAACAAAGTTACTTTATCTTAAGCGATACCAGGGGTGAAAGGGTTCGATTTAAGCGTTTTCACCTTGAGGACAAGACAACACAAAGCCTCTGGTCTACAAATGTAGCCATTTCATGCGCAGCACGTCACTGCAGAACTTTCTATTTACGTCTTAGCATTTTCATGAACAGACTGACGGACACACGCTCAGATGAATTAGGAGTAAAGGCCTTGATAAACCGTTGATGTGGTTAAACTCTGCATTTCTTCATTGTTTCCTTACAAAAAGCGCCTTCTTATGATGTCAGTGTAGGCCGTATATTTGGAAGGGCAGTTTACAGGTAAAACATATCTAAAGAAAGTGTAATACACATAAAATGTATCTGTAACGAGTTAACAATATCCTCCGTCATATGTATACACGGACACATCACATTTCAAAGGCAGAAACGACATGCAGAAGACAGACATTTCTGAATTTCAGTAAAATTGCAAATGGCGGCCATGTCATCGGTACCTATACTGCTGTCAAACTACGGCCAATTTCAGTATCAATCTACGTCCTTATTACTTTCAAATACAGTAACTGTTTTCTTAAATACCTTGAATATGCAGCCTTGTAAACATCTTGTCAGTAGAAGATCTCGGAACGATGCGGTAGTCAACGAAATGCAGAGCGATAGGGAGTATGAGCGATAGCGAATCTGTTAAGAACAGAGGGGACGTTGGCAACGACAACGGTAACTATATGGAGACGGAGTCAGAACGCGGCGTCATTGTCCATTTCCGGCAACGACAAACAGCCGGCTGCAGCTGCATGGCATGGGCCAAACACTTGGCGATGTTAAGGTTTCCGACTGTTGCCCATATACATATATATTCAAACGTCGGATAAACTGTAGTCCAGTCCATCACAAAATAGTGCCTATCAGATGTAGAAAGATACAACACTCAAACTCAGAGGTTAATATGATGACAAAAAATAAAAACTTATATAACCGTTCATTTTCAGTAAAAGGTGTCCACGTTTTCACAGTCTGTTTTTTGCTATTTCATATATGTTTTATCTCAGGAACAGAGGTGCAGTGTCGGGTAAAAATAACTGACATTTGGGGGGATTGTCGTCTGTTGCATAGCTCTGAATATATGACATTATATTGTGACATTTAGGGAAGGAATGATGAACGATAGGGAAGACTTAACTGTCGGCGAAAAGCAAACGACAATAAAAGGAAGCACATCCTGGTGTGTCGGCCGTTGTCGTGGTTTCCGGAAAAGAAAAAGAAGGGCATGTTGAGTTTGTTTTGACCCCGAGTATTAACTGGCTAACTGGCGAATGGATTTAATTGTTTCTTACAAAGACCGTTCATCTCACCCGGGAAAGGTCTGTTGGTGTGTGGCTGATGTACGTTTAAGTTAGCCGGGACTGCTGCACTCATTGCTGCGGATGGACAAACTCAGTGATTTCTCCAACTCCATGCGTATTAAGTCGCGCCGATATGCTGACAAGAGTGGTCTCCCTTCCGTCATTCTGGACAATGCGCCGATCCATCCATTCCCCTCACTCATAAACGAGATGAAAGCTAATTAACCTGCTGGCCGAATCAGTGGGTTTGCAGGTTTATTTTGTACGTGATGTAATAACGTAAGGACGGGTCTACAACCGTATTCTCGCTCACACAAGTGCCAAGTGAGGATCGCTGTGGTCTAATTGTGAGGCAATGTACTTGATTCTCATCAAGATTAACATTCAGCACCGGGCGTTTGTGTGTGTATTCAGTCAGTGTACCCTGGTCTGCTAGCTGACCAAGGGCTATTAAACAGACTATGGCCATTTACAAAGCAGCATAGAATAATAAACATTTCACTTTGTTTTGAAGCCTTCTTTCATTTCAGAACAAACATGATCGGCCTATTTGCTTGCCAGTATGTTTATAAAAATAGTGTACGTATATTGTGTTACACATCCGTAGATAAAATAGAGATTATTTATTCAGTACCGTCTTTGACATAAGGCGGCAGTGGGGTAGTATGGTGGTTAAAGCACTGGCTGAGACACAGAAGGCTCGGGTTCTATTCCCTACATGATTGAAACGTGTGATCCCATTGCCGGTTGCCCCCTTCCGAGATATTGTCGGGCTATTGCTAAAAACAGCGCAGAACCATACTCACTCACTCACCATTTGACACTAGAGACATTGGCGTGCATATACTTGGGGACATTTCGTGTCTGAACATTCAAAGGGAGACTAGGGCTGTTCAATTTGGCAGTCTGTGTACGTTTGTTCATATAATATGTTTCAAACATCATCCCGATTTGTAACCTTGTTCAACAGTAAATTATAGTTATCTAAGAGTTGGTTTGTACCTTTAGCTTAACATATATCATTCAAGGGCGGTGGGGTGACGTAGTGGCTAAAGTGTTTGCTCGTCACGCCGAAGACCCGGGTTCGGTTTCGAACATGAGTCCAATTTGTGAAGTCCATTTATGGTGTCCCCCGCCGTGGTATTGCTGGAAATTGCTAAAAGGTGAGGTGAAATGGGTTTAACGTCGTGCTTGAGAATATTTCGCTCATATGACGACGTGCATGCGTGTGTATGTGTATGTGCGGCTGCTTGTACTAGCCCAGACTGAAGCTGGTTTTATAGTGCTAGCCCACTGATATACCTTGCCGCAGTGAAGCATGAATACCCCACTCAGACACATTATACTGACTCCGAGCCGACCAGTCCTTGATGTACCCATTAATGCCGAGCGCCAGGCAGGGACCAACAAGTACCATATTTTAACGTCTTTTGGTATGACGCGATCGGGGATCGAACCCGTGACCTTCCGCTCTCCGGGGAAATTGCTAAAAGCGGCGTAAAAGTAAACTCACTCACTTACAAAGAATATATATATGTTTCCGAGTAAAAATATGTACGTGCTGGTGTACGTTAAAACGAAGAAATGCTGATTAAATTAAGATTAAATACATTTGAGAATTCTTTAACAAACATTTAAAGTGAATACCTGTTTTCACATTTCGCGCGTGTTGAACTCGGGCTAAGTACGAAACAGTGGCGGAGAATTTCGCGTCAATTATCCAAGATGGCTGCGCACAGGACCAGATGACCAATGTCAAAATAATTCGACGTTTTTATGAAAACAGGTACGGTATGAATTGCAATTGCGACAGCCGTTCATTCTGAACGCTACGCCAATTTAAAATTTGGCAGGGACTTCTCCTGAAGCGATAGCACTGTATCACCTGAAGACACATTTCTTTCACGTGATGCATACCAAGGTTGTTATCTGTAACACTAACAGTGTTTAATCGGTTTGGATAGGATGTGAATTAGTTACATATTGCAACTTATCAAATATTGCATGATCTCGATGCAAATAGGCACGAAGGCCATATTGTTGCAGTTGCTCACAATCAAAACAACGGCCGATGACATGGGTCGTCCAGATAAACATGACAAAATAGGTGGCAGAGTATGCAGAAATTATGCTTTTTTCAGCATTTTGTCCCATTTCATTATTTTATCTAGCATCCAAATGTTAATCCCAGGTAATTTTATCCTGGGGGTGAGATAAAAAAAATATGCAAATGAAATGGATATCACCAGCACTGCTTGACCAACAAATAATTTGTGAAACTGATAATTTAACACAACTCGTAGATAATCAAAATGTGTGCTGATCATTGTTCAAAATCAATAAACAGTGTTTCGACAAAGCGTGAAACTTTTGGTGATATGTATAAACTGTAAATGATGTTTTCATATACATTTACATATATATATAATTTTTAATGATCACCACCGCAAGAACTCTTGTTGTTGTAGAGTCTATGTGTGACAAAATTGGATCATGTGGTCATGGTTGATTGCGTATCACTATGCACTGTATCGTGATGTTGCTCTTAATGTCAACCACTGGCTCAGATTTGATTATTTACATGCTGTCATATATAGATTAAATGTTGCTGACTGGTGTAAAACATTACTCCACTCAGTCTCATTTAGATAATGTTGATCAGTTATAACTACTTGTTCGCTGACAGCACACTAAAATTAAAATTTGGTGTACATATATAGACAGATTATTGTTTTCAGCAGGCAAAGATTACAGATTTGTGTACTGAGTGAATATATGGGAGAAAAAAGATACAATTTATAATTGCTCTGGCCTACCTAAATATTCCCTTTCTGTTTTTGATTTTTACAGATAACAAAATGCTGAGGCAGATCGTGAAGAGTGCATTTCTGTTAGCGTCTTCAGCAGTGGCTGTACCATATACAGTGGCACTCTTATGCAATGTTCTGTATGGATGGCCACAGTCTCGGGACAAGTACAAACGAGCATTCCATCCAAGGAAAGTGTATGCTCTTAACTATGCTGTGTTGCAGAGACTGCTCCGATTTAAATATGCCCCATTGTACTTCAGATGGAAATTTTTCTACAGCAATGCCGATCGCTCTATTCTTGCTAAGGTATGTTTATAGAGTTTTTTCTCACTGGTCTGAATGTTATGTGGGCTTACATTGGTTCCTGCTTGTAAGTGTCTCAAATAACAATTTGGACTATTGACTGCAGGTGAGATACAAAAATTAATGAAAATATTTATTTGCAAAGTGTAATATATTTTTAATATGTACGATGTTTTCAAATTCTAACATTGTCCATTAACAAATGCCTGTCTATGTTTATCTAAGATCATTCAATATACCAACTCTGCTGGTGGAAAATTTGAGATGTCTCCTCTCTTTGTTTACCTGAAACAGAATACTCAGAAATAGATTCGTAACATGTATCATGTTAACAATATATATCATATTACGGTTGTTATTTATGTTTTTATTAATTATACACCTAATCCACACCCTAAAGCATCCTCAAAGCACTACATTATTACCGATCAATGAATCAGTGAGCACTTGAATTGTATTCTGTGCTCCCTTAGGAGTATATGACCCTTGTCATAATAGGTCAAATTGTCTTCTCATCCTACCGGGTTCCATTCTGTGTATTGTGAACTGAGGCAATATTTATGATATAATATAATAATAATATAAATCATTTTTATAACGCCTAGTATCCAGCTGTGTAGTTACTCACTGGCACATATGTAGGAGTCAGTGGAGTGTGAGGGGGAAATGTCAAATATTGTAAGCAGTTCTGCACAGACTTGTTTTGATTTGGCTTTTAAAAGTGGATTCACAGATGGTGGCTTTTAGTTCTGATGGTAGAGTATTCATAATTGAGGTGCAACAATGGAGAATGCTTGCCTAAGAAGAAACCATGTGTGTTACATGTGTTTGGTTGGGGGGCAAGAGAGAAGCCTTGGAAACTTTCAGGAGTCAAACATAGTCCCTGATCCATCTGTTCCCTGTGAACAGCGTTGCTTTACTTTACCTGCGTTGTGGTGTCTGTGCAGTTAAAGAAACTACATACTCTGATAAGCACCCCCTGACAATATCGGGGACACTGGTCATCTTAAAATTCATTATCTCCCCTTTGTCAATTTTCTTAGTACTTGAAGTGCCTAAGTGGAGTGAGTGAGTTTAGTTTTACGCCGCACTCAGCAATATTCCAGCTATATGGCGGTCTCGAGTCTGGACCAACAATCCAGTGATCAACAGCATGAGCATCAATCTGCGCCAATTGGGAACCCGATGACATGTGTCAACCAAGTCAAGCGAAAACTGACCACCGATCCGTTAGTAAGCCTCTTCACGACAAGATACTTTTATGGCAAGCACATGGGTTGCTGAAGACCTATTCTACCCCGGATCTTCACGCGTCGAAGTGCCTAAGTAGTTGAATATGGTAGGCATTAAAGCATTGTTTACTTTGATGATATGTTGATGATGCATCATCTGATATGTGTAGAAGCGTTTGATAAGCTGAATGTTTTTACACTGTAATGTTCTGTTTTGACGCAGTAACAGCTGGTCATCTGTCCAACAGTTGTGACACAAAATGACTCAAGTATATCACATGTAACATCAATCTCATTTTGAATGTAATGATATGGAAACAGTTCATTTAATGATATTATGTTTGGACGAGTAACCTCTTCAAAATTCTCAAGCTGTGACGTCCCTAGTTTGTAATGATATGGTCACCCTGCCACACACAGTACAATAAAATGTAATCTTTAACACATTAACACGGGTAAGGAGACATTAGACATTACCTTCATGTATAACAGCCCGTCGGAAACATATTTAGTAGATTGGGGTATGAAATACATTGGGATGATAGCTGTTGCATATACAATAAGAAAATTGTGCTTGTTCTTACCATTTTGTTACCAGTTAAAAAATAACATTTCATCTTAATTAGGAATGTAAAGTGCATAAAGTATGATACTTTGGTTTGTTTGTTGCTTAACGCTACACTCAGCAATATTCCATCTATATGGCGGTGGTCTGTAAACAATGGTAAATACTCTTGTCTGGACCAGACAGTCCAGTGACCAACAACATGAGCATAGATCTATGCAATTTGGATACTATGACAGGGATTTACAGGACATGAATTCCTGCTTCCTATAAGCATAAAATTGACAATGGATGCAACCAAATTTATCAGCGCGTCCACAGGGACTCAGAAAACGTCCAAATACTTTTTGTAAAAATTCCAATTAAGTGACAATAAGTTATCACTGAGTTTGCTACTAGCTGGGTTATGGTATTATTTGCAATTTAATTACTGTAACAATGTGATGATCATGATACACAATACAGTAACGGTATTAATAATAATATTTAAGTGTCTGGGACCCCCATTTTGTTGTCCAGGGGCTCCTTTCACCATGTTCAGCAACCTTTACTAAGGTTAACCTTAACTCCCATTCTCCAACATTGCACTAAGGTTACTCTAGTGACTTACGATCACAGGGATAGAAATACTTTTTTTTCTAAGTGTGCCTTAGGGCACCAGACAAATATTTTAGGTGTGCCTTTCAGAAATCATGCCCACATGTTTTTAGAATATATGACAATGATGATGATCATTTGAAATTTATTGTTACATAAAGAAATGGGTTTATGAGCATTCAAATATGTATGGTATTATTCAGTTTGGAAAAAAATAATTGCTTGGGGGATTAAATGACTAAATGTGAGTTATGTCTCTAAGAAATTAGGCATGTCAAAAGGGCACCGAGAGCATTTTTCAGCCGTGCCATTTCAATATTTACTGTGCCATGGCACACTAGTATATGGCGTATTTCGAACCCTGGATCACCTTAGTGCTTAGTGAAAGGAGGCCCAGGACCCCTGAAAATTAGGAGTATGAGTCCCAGGGACCCTCAAATACAGGACTTCATGTAAATCCCTGCTATGACATGTGTCAACTTAGTCAACAAGCCTGACCACCCGATCCCGTTAGTCGCCTCTTACGACAAGCATGGGTTACTGAAGACCAATTCTAACCCGGATCTTCACAGGTCCTATAAAACATATTAACATGGATCCTCATAAACCATTAGAATTTTAGTTTAGGTGTAATCAGAATAACATAAGTCTGTTTCTTGATGACAGGAGATTTATAAGTGGATTGAACAAGTTAATGATTGGAATATATTTTCAGGATTTGTCTTATGGACGCAATGACCGGACATTAGATGTGTATTCCCCGTTTCCTCACAATCCCGCTGAGTTGCGACCTGTGGTGATCTTCGTGTACGGTGGGGCATGGGGAGCTGGGGACAAGAGCATGTACGGGCTGCTGTGTATGCAGATTGCATCCAAACTGGGGGTGATTGTCTGCTGTATCAACTACTCACTGTATCCACAGGTAAGCTAACTTTTATATGTATAGATACTATGGTTGCAACAAATCCACAAGAAGGTGAACATCATACATATTGGGTATCGAATACATGTACTATAATACGTCTGCAGCTGAATTATTATTCAATATATTCAATGAAACAGTAACAATGTGAATTTTTTTACATGTCTTGACCATGATGACAGTGTTTATTTATCATGACAATAACACTTTAGTGAAACTATTTGCTAACATCAAACAGTCCTCATGGAATTTTATAGTAGTAGAATGGAGATGAACATTGCAACATTCATTGCAAATTCAGCTGTGCATGTTTAAATCTAGATGTAAAATTGCTCTGCTTTGAAAACACAGTAGGTTTATTTCCTAATCAGCTTATACAGGTGTATGTTTGGGATAGATTAATGATGATGACAATGTGTATAGAGATGTGTGTTCACTGTACATGTTGTATAACCCAGTCCCAGGTCCCGCTCTTCAAAGCCATCTTTTGCTATTAGGCCAGACCAATTTTTGTTCTTGTTTTACGGATCTGCCTGTCATATTTTTTCAAAAATAAGAAAACAAATAAAAATTAATTTTCCCCTCTCAAAAAATAAATGCTAATGTTTTATTGGCCAAAAATGTAAACTTACAAGAAATTGTTTTTAGATTCATTTTTTGCCCCACATACACTCATAAATTGCCAAAAGTAAATACTTTTAGTATTTAAAAGGAATATTACTTTGACTGGTGATTTATTTATTTTAAAATTCCCCACCTGCCTTTAGGTTTTCTGAGGACAAAAATCTATAAAACAAGAAATAAAATTGGTCTGGCCTTATGTTATAAAGTCTATATTACCATGGTCTTTGTGCTATGATCAATTTGTGGATCATGACCTTGGTCTTTTACTCCTTCATGTACCTGTTTGTGTGAAAAACTGATGATACCTAACCAGGAGGTTGTTTGTCTTGTACGTTCTATGCATGGTCAAGAGAAATATTCAGACCCACATATAATTAATACAATCAGAGAGCTCTGTATGCCAAAAAATTAAGTATGGCTGTTATATTACTGTGCATATTTCATTAGTACAAATACCATCACTCAGAAAGCTGACATATGATTTCCTCAAGAACTCTTGCCTCCTTCATTTTGATTTGTGGTCTAAGTTCACCTGGCGCAAGCTTCTTTTGAAATTGGAGGTGGGGCGGTGGGGTAGCCTACTGGTTAAAGCGTAACGCTCATCACGCTGAAGACTCAGGTTCAATTCCCAACATGGGTACAATGTGTGAAGCCCATTTTTGGTGTCCACAGCCGTGATAGTGCTGGAATATTGCTAAAAGCGGCGTAAAACTAAACTCACTCACTCACTCACTCTTTGGGGGTGTCGTCTGATCCTCACGCAGTGAGGCATCATGCTGGAACAGAAGATCTACTTTTAATGATTTATTGCCAATGACATCAATGCCATTCTGCTATTTTATAGTTACAGTGATTTCACTGAAAACAAATGGCATTTGAACATAGTCAAGATTTAGGACTTTCTTCTTATATTTACCAAATTTAAAAACTAATCTTTTACAATTAGAAGACAATTAGCCATTGTCCTAGGAAATGAACTGATCTGAAACCCTAATGTGTGATGCATCAACACAAAACAGTTTGTTATGATTCTGTTTATCACTGGTTGCAGTATGTATGTATGTAAATAAGTGGACTCCATTTTTTGACATATTGATAAAGAGTCAACAGCATCTGTTTATGATGGATTGATCAGTGGTAAGGAGAGAGTATCCTCTTGGTGCAAATAAAAGCATCTGTTGCTTATATCAAATATATAATCAAATTTTTGTTGAAACTTGAACCTATCATGATTGTGCACTTATGATTCTGTAACATCGAGTTTTGTTCATACAATATATTCTTACCATAGTTAGTTGCTGGGTTTATGTGCATCTAGTCTGTACAAATGTAGAGAATGGAAAACAATTCACTGCATCCAGAGGTACACAAAATATTACCCACAACACATCTGTGACCTTGCTAAGTGATTTGTTGTTTCTTTCAGAGCAGTTACGTGCATCATTTCATCCACCAGTCCACATGATCAATGATTCATTCCAGGCTCTAAAGAAATGATCAAAATGTACAGTTCTTGAGACTGTTACTTCACACTAATCAGGGGAACCTCATATTGTGTGCAAGGACCTGTAAAACTAATAACTGAGTGTCCCTTTAACCCCTATGTTTGTGAGTTGAGGTAAAACCCTGAGTTGTATATCTTAGGCTCGAAACAAAGGCGTTATGTTTATGGACCTGCCCACGTTAACGCCAGCATCCTTCCTTTAAAAAGTAATGGACATTTTTTACTTCTTCACTTTTCTTTGTCAAGGTAGGGGTAGCCTAGTGGTTAAAGCGTTCACTCATCATGCCGAAGACCAGGGTTCGATTCCCCACATGGTTCAACATGTGAAGCCCATTTCAGTGGGGTAGCCTAGTGGTTAAAGCGTTCACTCATCATGCCGAAGACCAGGGTTCGATTCCCCACATGGGTACAATGTGTGAAGCCCATTTCTGGTGTCCCCCGCCGTGATATTGCTGGAATATTGCTAAAAGCGGCGTAAAACCAAACTCACTCACTCACTTCTCTTTCTACCTCCATGCAGCAAACATCATGTGATATAATCTTAATACAAAGCAGTAAAAATACCCCAACAGCTATTCATTGTTATATGGTTTGTTATTGTGATTACTGTTGTGTTTTATCAAGGGCTATGTGGATGATATGGTGCAGGACGTGGTGGACGCCATCAACTGGGTACACGAGAACATCCACACATATGGAGGTAATAAGGTACGTGGGGAAACGTTTGCCTTATACACATATGGTGTCTATAGTCTATGAAATGGAATCTGTTTTTCCTATAAATTTCTAAAAGACTAGCCTGGAAGAGTAGTGGAAACAGTATTTCACAAGTCTTCAGGCTTTGTACCGAGTATTACTTGAATTATTTGTTTTTACAAATCCTCTGCATTATTGGCTCATAGAATTGTTAAAACATGCAAAAAACTTTTTTGATGATTTCTGTTAATGTAAACAGGGACTGTTTATTTTATGGGTTTTTGTTTTGTTTTGACTTTGGTTTGTTTTGTTTATGGTGTGTGTGTGTGTTTTTGTGGGGGTGATTTTAGGGGGTGTTCTGGGGAGGTAGAGGGGTCAGCAATTTTGTACATAACAATATTTAAAAATCATGCTTAAAACTTATTGGAAGGGGAGGGGGGTTCCAAATGATGTGTCATTGATTTTGTACATGACATGGGGGTCCACTTACTTTGTACATAAATTCATTTTAAAAATGGGTATTCACATTGTACATAAAAATCATCATCTTTCTCCATAAAAATTATCATCATGGGTTTTTTTTAACTTTCACACACTCAGTATGATAGTATCAATGTTGACTGTCATGTTAAAGCCAAGTTCCCCTTATCTACCTGATTACTGATATGTTTTGATTAATTTTATTCTCTTCAGGATCAAATAATGCTGATTGGCCACTCATCAGGGGCCCATCTCTCGGCCATGGCAATTCTGGAATTGTTACATGATGAACGCATACAGATCCAGCCCTTCAAGGGGAGGCAACTCCAGTTTGACGACCAACACTACACAGGATCAAACAACAACAGTAACGGGGAGGAGCAGGAAGGCCAGGAGGGGAGCTCAGGGTCCTCCGAGAGTTTTGCCCTCCTAAGTGAAAATGGTGAACAGCAGAATAGTGAAGTTAATAATGGGGCAACAAGTACATTTGAAGTCCTCAATGGACAGCAAGGAGGGAAAGAATCCACTATGGCCAGCAGTGAGACCAGACCATGTGATGACAGTATGGATGTGATTCCTAGTCCTACAGAGGAAAGTGCTGAGGATGTTGTCGTGGCTGAAGGAGGAGGTGGGGAGGAGGAGGAAGATGAGGACAGTGGGGATGATGACTCAGTTGTTACTGTTCGACCAAAGGATATTGAGAGACATGCTACCTTGGTGGATCTGTGCAAGTCAGTTAAAGCATTTGTAGGTATGTGATGTTAAAGATTCATAGACCCGTGAAGATCCGGGTTAGAATTGGTCTTCAGCAACACATGTTTGTCTTAAGAGGTGACTTACAGGATTGGGTGGTCAGGCTTGCTGACTGGGTTGACGCATCATCATATCCATATTGTGTAGATCAATGCCCATGCTGTTGATCACTGAATTGTCTGGCCCAGACTTGATTATTTACAGACGGACACCATATACCTGGAATATTGCTGAGTGCAGTGTTAAACAACAAAGTAAAGATTCATGTCATTACCGTTTAGGATTCCATGTTAGACTAGCTCTCAACCTGTAATGGTTGTAACCAATAGGAACATGTGGTCAGGCTCTTTGACTTGAGGGCGGTGGGGTAGCCTAGTGGTAAAAGTGTTGGCTCGTCAGGCCGAAGACCCGGGTTCGAATCCCCACATGGGTACAATGTGTGAAGCCCATTTCTGGTGTCCCCCGCCGTGATGTTGCTGGAATATTGCTAAAAGCGGCGTAAAACCAAACTCAATCAGTCAGTCTTTGACTTTATGACCTGTGAAGATCCGGGTTAGAATTGGTGTTCAGCAACCCATGCTTGTCATGAAAGATGACTAACGGGATAGAATGGGTAGGCTTGCTGACTTGGTTGACACATGTCATCATATCCCAATTGCGTTGATTGATGCTCATGATGTTGATCACTGGATTGTCTGGTCCAGGCAGCATTAGCTTGAAATTTAGGTCTATATAAATATTTTTATGTATTGTATGAATAGACAGTCCCTTTCAGAAAGTTGTTTGAGGAGTGTGGGTTTGAATCCCAAATGGGACTCCAATAAAAATTTTGTTTTACTTAGAAAGTGCAATCCAGATATAACTACCGTATGTTACAGTCATATTAATGTCTTGATTTACTAAGTACAGATACTGAAACTTAACTGTTGTGCTGCAGGTTTAGCTGGAGTCTACAACATCGCCGACCACTACATTCATGAGTACGGGCGGGGTGTCGAGGACATCTCCAGCATGGGGCGGGCAATGTATGGGGAGGATCACTTTGAGAGATTTTCACCCACAGTCATTATTAAAAACCTGGGCAGGAGTATCAGGTGAGAGTGACACAGGGATGTACAGAGTTATATATTTTAATGGTACAGGGTACTTGAAGCTTTCAGTTGTTTAAACATGGGTTCCAAATTTTCGAAATGGAGTTCACAGAGATGTGTAGAAATTTAAAAACATTATCAAAAAACATATTTACAGCAATGTCTCTCCTTGTATTGAGACAGTACTGCAAAAATATTTGCTGGTTTAACCTTGAAAGTTATTGTAGCTTTATGGTGAAAAGTATGGAGCTGCAATTATATCGTTATTGTTTCACACTGTCATCTTGAGTTTATGATCCATGAAGTCTTGTCAAGGCGGAATTGGTCTTCACTGACTTCAGCAACCCATGCTTGTTGTAAGACTACAAGTTAGTAAGAGGTGACTAATGTGCTTGGGTGGTCAGACTCACTCACTTAGTAGATCGATGCTCTTGATGTTGATCACTGGATGGTCTGGACTCAGTTATCTACAGACCACTGACGTATAGCTGGAACATTGCTCAGTGCAGCCCAAAACAACAAACAAACAAATATCAAGGCAGATAAATGCAATTTACAACTTGTAAAAATATGTCTATACAGGAGGATATAAGGATGTCTTATTTTTCCTTATCCTGACTCATGCTAATTATGCTTGTCTCCTTCTTCTTGCGAATGATAGTGGAACACTTGAAATCCCTTGAAGTTCCCTTCTAAAAAGCGGACGTAACATTACTACTCACCCTGTCAATGTCAATGAAAACACATGTCAAACAACGGAAATTTAGATCAAATTCCAAACCGTAATGTAGAATATAATCCTAAAAACCGTATACAGCAATAATTTTGATATAAGGTCCGAAAATATAAAAGGATATCGTCCTCAAGGGCGAAGGAGAGAGTGACGAGGCATGGTCGGTCAGGTGATTAAAAGGGCGCCAAAGGGGCAAGGGAGGCAACTCCTTGGTGAGTAGTGATTTACGTCCGCTTTTTAGAAGGGAATTTCAAGGGATTTCAAGTGTTCCACTATCATTCCCAAGAAGAAGGAGACAAGCATAATTAGCATGAGTCAGGATAAGTATAAAATATCAATTTTAGTCAGAAAATTACATATTGTATGATTCTGTGAATGGGACTGTTCCAATAACTGAATCTAAGTCCGTACATCACTGATATGAAGTTGTGATTTTGAGAATTTATTCTGAATTTACGTGTAATGTGTTGCTAACAGCAAAGACGAATGGAAGTATGATTTCCCTTTATCATCATAAGTTTATGACAATATGTGAAGCAAGATTTGATTGGTAATATATTGTGGCATGACGTCACACAAACAGATTATAAAATGGGAATGTTGTGAGTAAAAGATGGGGGCATAGGTGTCATCAAAATTTGTGCGGAGTCGCTTCCCTTAGAGGTGCCAGAGGTTATGATAATGGGTTTGAATCCCGGTTTCACCTGTTTATGTTTCTTGGTTTGTCTGCACCATACCCTTGTTTCACCAAAGTGGTTACTGTCTAGGATGTGCATCCTTGTAGGCTTTCCACCAATATAAATGTGACATGCTGATGAATTAGAAAACTGTTTTAAAGCTCATTTACAAAAAAATAGGGGGGCTGTTGTTTGGTAGCCTAGTGATTAAAGCTTTTGCTCGTCACTGGTTCGACCCGGGTTCGTGATACTGCTGGAATATTGCTAAAAGAATTGTAAACTCACTCACTCGCTTTTACTCGTCATTTAACTGTCTATACGTAGTGCAATTTTAAATTACGTCATCCATGTTAACAGCCATACTCGTGTACCTGCAACTCGCAGTAAGGTGAGCGAAGCATATTGGTTCTGCCGATCAGTCCCCAGACATGATATTGCTGGAACATTGATATACACTCACTCACTCACAAAATAGAAAAGAAAGATAAACTTGCTCCACCTATATAAAGTTTTATATGTTTTTTTATCCACAGCCTACCAAAGATGGTGCTTGTCCATGGAACGGAAGACATTGTGGTTCCATTGTCATCAACAACCAGATTCAGTGATGCTCTAAGTGACATTTTCTCGGACGTGACAGTGCGAGTGTTGCCAGGCTGCGACCACTTTGATGTCATGATTGACCTCATGATGCCAGAGCGCCGGTTCTATGACTCTGTAATGGGGATTCTCATGGAAACATGCAAGAAAGTGTTTTGATGGCAAGATTGGCATAGCTTCTGTTTGTTGGAGATGGCCAGACGCTCTAACCTGGCCAGCGCTTGAACAAGTCAATATGTTATTTTTTAATGAAATTTAATCTAATCACACATGTTATCAGCACTGTTTCGGCTTGGTTGAATTTCATGGTTAGATGAGTTGTTTTCTGTTATTATTTTTCAGGCAAAACTGCTTTGAAATTGAATCTGGTACAAAGTGTGTTTGTAGTACTGTTTTCTTGTTGATCATGTATTGATATATCAGGTAATATATATTATATTTTTTGTTGTTTAATTATTGAATAATTTGAGGTTGAAAATTGGTTATATGGGTAATTTTTTTTGTAGGTAGAGTATTAATTAAAACAATTTTTCCATAAATATACCTATTATTTGCAAACAATACCGTATATATCTTTGAATGTGATTTGCAACATTCATGGAACGAATAGTGATTCATCGTTATGTTAGCAGCATTTAGCCATGGAATAATCAATATTCCTGTCTGTGAAATTTCATATGATTCTAACTGCTACCAAAGATGTGCCATGGGGCACTCTATCCTTTCAAAGGGGCCTCCATTCTGTAGAAAAGGAGATAATGCAGCCCCTTCATCGCACATCGTTTGACTCCCAGGCATCACATTTCAGTGTTTTCTACAATTATTACTCCCCAAGGTGTGTCTCCCCATTCCTTTTCCTTACCTTGACGTTTAATTACACTAACACCTGGATTGATTTCCATGTTTTTTACGATGATTACTACCCACTGTCCATCTTTTCCCCCAACCCCCTAAGCCCACCTGATGACATTTATGAGAAATTCAGCATTCCTTTTCCTTATCTTGACATTTGATTGGTTGGTGAAATGTTAATAAAAATCAGTACCACAGGAAGGGAAAGTGTTCGGTCGTCACGCCAAAGACCCGGGTTCGATTCCCAACATGGGTACAATGTGTGAAGCCCATTTCTGGTGTCCCCTGCCGGAATATTGCTAAAAGCGGCCTAAAACTAAATTCACTCACTCACTCTTATAAAAAAAAAGAAGAATTGATCTAATTCATTTATTTTCAAAAGGTACCTTTAATTTTTATCATTCTTGTCTTATTTACTTTCCGTCGGACACCAACATGCTTGAGTTAGATTTTCCTGTCTGTCTAGTAAATTTGTACAACAGAAAATAAATATTGATCTGGCGTCACAGAACAATGAAATCCTTCATATTACATATGTACTACAGTATTCATATTACTGTAGTGTTGTGACAGAAGAATGTGTTCTCATCTTCAGTTGAGTAGTATTTTAAAAAGTAGTGTCTGTGTGTACTGTGAATGATCATGAATCATCATGCAAAACGCCTGACAAGGTAACTTTATTCATTTTGTTTTGAGTTTTTCTTGTCGAGAATGAATTGTGCAATTTTTTATTACAATGTTTATGTTGTTACATTTGGGCCGAAACAAAGAGGGAACGTCTAAATGAACCTTGGATGATGTTCTTGTAAACTGTTGTACTTAACGTCCATGAATACACCGGATATATAGTTCACAAGTAAAATACTTCGCACTTCATATAGTCATTTCATTGATAAAAACACGCTTTGTTTTTGCGAAAAAATAGACAACTTCATCTTGATGTTTGTACTGGGTTACACTGTGCGATCAGGGAAGGGGATTTTTGGTTTTGTCTAAAAGCAGAAATATATGTTTTTGCAGAAGCTGTTGATATGCCTATGCCTGAAATCCAAGAATATGTCTGTTTGCTGCTTTGAACTTAAACTTTACGTTGTGAGGGTCCAGCAGTAATGATTGATATACCGGTATACCAAATAAGGTGAAACGTCCTTGTCTTTGCAGTAATGTTAAATGTTCAAATTTCCAGGGTCCTACATTTAAGTTCCACGGGAGCAAAAACCATGATCAATTTTGATCATTCAAGCCTGATGTCAGATTTTTTATAATTTCACCTTTAGTACCTGGATGAAATGTAAGGGCACTTTGAGCCAGAATGGGTGGTACATGTATTTGTAAGTTGAATGATGATGTAAAAGTATTTTATTGATCACTACAGTAGTGTTCGAAATTAAGCATCAAGACAATGTGTGCTAGTCACAGTTCCTTGTGTTGAGGGTCGGTGGGGTAGCCTAGTGGTTAAAGCGTTGGCTCGTCACGCCGAAGACCCGGGTTCCAATTCCCCACATGGGCACAATGTGTGAAGCCCATTTCTGGTGTCCCTGGCCGTGATATTGCTGGAATATTGCTAAAAGCGGCGTAAAACTAAACTCAGTCAGTCAGTCCTTGTGTTGATAATTGAGAAAGTCCCAAGATTCAAATACCAGCACAATATCAGCAAACTTTTAGGCCATCTTTCAATGTGAACCTGGATGGTATTACCAGCAAGATTCGGTGCTATAGTATTTTATGGTATTTCAAGGTATAGATGTTTTGTTTTTGCTACCGCAATATCTTGAAGATGAGATCTTTTACTCTCTTCAAAATGCCTCTTTCAGTGGAGATCTCAGAACATCTGCATAGAAGGTTTGGTCAGGGTGTTTGGTCAAGGCAAGGGTGTGATGCATATTGAGCCACTAAAGTCAGCTTTTTAAAATCATTTGACTTCCGTTCTTCACCACCTCAATTGGGTAATTTACGATATTCTCCTTCAAGGGTACCTCTGTGCTGTAGATGACATGCGCCAGAAATAAAAGAGTGTGAAGAAACTTCAATAATAGTCTTATTTACCTTCATTCGGAATCCATCCGTTTAGGTTGTGTATGAGAGATACAGAAATATGCTAGTCTAAATGCTTCAATTACTGAGAATTTAGAAGCCTGTTCGGTTGATTCCAAAGTTTCCAAAGTTTGCCTGGTTCGACTTCCACTAGAGGAGTCCTTAGATCTTCATTAAGAGGTTTCATATTAGAGTAGATTACCTGATTTCAAGGACATTCTTGCTAGAGCAGGTTTAAAATTGTCCAGTGTTTTGTATGTGTGCCTGCATGTAGGAGTTTTAAGTTGCCATGGGAACACGTTATTGTATACCTGAGAAGGTATGTGGTTTTTCATAACAAGTTTCATGCAATTAGCCTAGAAAGTTTAGAGTTTCTATTTAGTTATTGTTTTAAAGGTCGGTAGGTGGTATCTATTCTTAATGGCTTTGTTTATGGATCTGGCTAGCTATTCTCGAAACGTTCTTAGCCCTATGAATTCTTCACTTCGATCGTAGCTAATGTGTTAAGAATGGGCTTAAGAAGTTTGTAGGGCTACGAACGTTTCGAGAATAGCTAGCCTGTTGATCCAAATTTCACTTATTTTGGATTCCTTGAATCCATAAATTATGTTAGTCTTATAAAATATTCAAAGTGTTTGATGATTGCAATGAAAGTACAGTGGAATCTATCAAATCCGGACTCTTTGTAAACCGGTTTTCTCCATAATCCGGACTACTCTCTGAGTCCCGGCAAAATTGTTCTTAATTTATCATTAAAGCCGAGTTGGTCCCAGGCCAGTAGGTAATAGAGAGATTCCACTGTACCTGTTGGACACTTAGGAAAAAAAAAATTCTTATATTCCACACAGTGTTTACTATGGACAACACCTTTGGCTGAAGATGACTTTTTCTGCCAAGCATTTGTGATTATTCAGACTAAGAATCTTTGTCTTTGATGGTTTGCTGCAAGTGAGAAAATTGCCATGATTGAGTCGTCACTTTAAGAGACGCAGATGCTGATTATGGACACATTATTGTAGATGTTTGCTGTGGAGTGTGCAAGTGAATATTGTCGTGCATGTTCTGAGTGATTGTTGTGAATATTTGTTAATGATGCCTCGACTCAGGTTTGTGGGTTTCGTGGATGCTGTATCCATGGTTTTATCCATGGTTTTATCCGTGTCTTTTAACTTGTACTATTCTGCTTGAGATGTATGCAGACTGTTGTGTTTTGTCATTCAGTTAATTCACTATGTTTTAATAAGGGATTATGCAGCTGATGTCAATGCAAGTCATTGTAGATTTTTCATTGATCATGAAATCACTTATATGCATATTCTAAACAAATATTTTGATGGTCCAAATTGAGATTTGATATTATATTTAAAATGTGTTGAGAAATGAGTTGGGTGTGACTTTATAGTCAACAAAATTATAGCGGTTTCATGAGGGCCCATTATGTAACTGGTGCTTACAAACCAGGGGTCAATGTCATGAGCAACACAATGTGTATGGCTAAATGCAGTCAGTGTGCTCCCAAATCCAGAAACCATTCATATTGAGTAGCCATTGTGACCACTTAATCTCTGGCTCTGATGACCTAAGTAGCCCTGCAATACCCAAGAGATTTATAGCGCTGAATAATTTGTGATACACCAATATTAGGCTTGCAACATGATTCTATTGTAAGACACACTTAAATGTCTTTCAAAACATGAAGGAGGCAGAGTACAATTTCAAAGCAACCAGTGGCCATTTTGTTTTAAGAAAGGAGGCTGTCTTGCTATACCAATCATATTTTTGGCCTTGATTCAGAAATGAATGGCTAAAAATATTTTTTTGCTTGAAAACAAAATCTAAAATATCTTGATTACATAACAAGAGTTTTTAACCTATTTTACATTGTGATATGTATGATGTCTAAGTAATGCATAATCCATGCTTACTGTATGCAGTTTGTGTTGTAGTTAAACATTGTTATAATATACTGGACAAAATAAGTTAGGGATATTGGTATTTTTATGATTGATATTTAATCAGTGTGTCAATGAATAAATAGTTCATTATTCATAATTTCAGAATTTACATATATCCCTAACTATTTTTGTCAAGTATACATGAACTGTCATTGGCCAACAAATAGATGTTTTTTCGGTTTCACACCATCCAAATATAGGTTACCTTGGGTATTTGTTTGATTATTTCAATCTTACTTTTTGCGTGGAGTTGATTGGGAGAGAAACAGAATTTTCAGTACATCAGTATTAATCATTGTTTCTTCTTCTAAACTTTAGTGACCAGTTTGTCTGTAGTGAAGCCAACAAATTATGCTTCAGGCGTAAAGTATGGGGGAGTGGGGTAGCCTGGTTGTTACAGAGTTCGCTTGTCACACTGAACACTGTGGTGGTGTGTGGTTCTGTGCGTAGAGCTCAGATCACAAATCAGTTGAAGTAAAGCAACGTTGAGCTCGGACAGTCCTTGGATGGGTGACCGTGTTTGGCAGCTTGTCTCCTGAGAGTTTCTAGGACGTCAGTCCTGCCCCACAACGAAGCACGTGTGATACATGTGGTCTCACCTTACACAAGTGAGTTTGTTCAAAATTGCCTCTGTTCACCCAGCAGAAAATGGGTACCCGGTTGGATAAAGTCATGTGACTATAACATTCTAGCACCTAACAGGCAGCTTGGGTTATCCGGGGTAATAATAAGCAGATTCTGATTACAGCGTCCAGTGAGCAGCTAGTCAGAGGTGTGGTGAGGTGAAATTGGGTTTTTACGGCGTACTTGAGAATATTTCGCTCATATGACGACGTGCATGCGTGTGTATGTGTATGTGCGGCTGCTTGTACTAGCCCAGACTTAAGCTGGTTTTATAGTGCTAGCTCACTGAGATAACATGCCGCAGTGAAGCGTGAATACCCCACTCAGACACATTATACTGACTCCGAGCCGACCAGTCCTTGTTGTACCCATTAATGCCGAGCGCCAGGCAGGGACCAACAAGTACCATATTTTAACGTCTTTTGGTATGACGCGGTTGGGGATCGAACCCGCGACCTTCTGCTCTCCGGGCGGACGCTCTAACCACTACACCACGGAGGTGGTCGAGCAGCTAGTCAGATGGATAATAGGTGCAATATAAATGAATTATTATTATTAACACCCAGGTTCTATTCCCCACTTGGTTTCACATGATATTGTGGAGATATTGCAAAAAGTGGCATAAAACCTTATTCACTCACTCATTTATGAACTATGGACATTTCTGGGATGGTCATAATGTTAAACAACAAACTAACCAACCAATCAATAACCAGGTGAACATAGGTTTAGGATCGAGGACTAAGATTGGGCTCAGTTCAATAAAAGAAAATATATATTTTATTTTGGCCTTTCAGTTTTATGTTAGAATTAGAAAGTGTTCTTGTATAACAGGTGTTGTAAAACAAGGCCTGAGACGGTTGAAGCCTGTATTAAGTTATCTAAACAAGAGGGGTTTATATTGATGTACTTATCAACACCATCAGTATCAAATGTTAGCCACAGACAATTCCTTGTTTCAGATTTAGTGCGTTTTTATATGAAAAAAGATAACCAGAATATATTTACAAATTCTGTTTCAATCTATATACTTTGAATTATGCAAGAAATGTATTTGTTAGAGTACAACATTATTTTGTGTCTTACCTTTATTCCATTGTCCTTGTCATGTCAAAGGGAAGAATATTTTATAGAATTTGGTACAATTTTTTAGAAAAAAAACCAAGAGGTCAAAAATGTTTGTTTTCCTTGCAAACACTTCCCAGTTGATATGTGATCTCTCATTTCTATGAAATGAATCGGACATGCTAGCACTTGTAAGAAACCACCCTTACCTATACCAATCTTTGATATGTTTGTGTTCACATTAGTTGCATGTATATGTAAATGCCAGTACCAAATGTCATCTGCTGCTTCCAAGACAAAGCAGTTCCCTGCGGGTGAAGGAAATAGCTGTTCAAAATGGCTGGCTGTTCATCATGTCAAGGTCAGTCATATTCATTCAGATACGTAGGAATTCAGTCTAACATTTCTGGGTTTGCCACCACTTTACAAGTGCTTATGGGGTTTTCCAGGTTGTTAATGCTTTCTGACCTGCATCACTTCAGGCTCCTCTCAATATCAAGCCAGGGAAGGGGGGGTAGTCTAGTGGTTAAAGCATCTGCTCGTCACGCCCAAGTCCCGGGTTCAATTTGGGTACAGTGTGTGAAGCCCATTTCTGGTGTCCCCCGCCGTGATATTGCTGGAATATTGTAAAAGTGGCATAAACCATACTCACTCACTCAAGCCCAAAATCACTGATCAGACTGGAATGCTGTGTGAAGTTGAGTTGGGCTTTACGTCACATCTGCATTATTCAAGCAATATAGTGACGAGGAGTAACGTCATGCTGACCTCAATGAAGTTATGTCACCTTGTATCATACTGGAGCCTTCCAATAGATATATATATATCATATCATGACAATGTGTGGCAGACATCAAAGATGATGATGATGAGAATTAAAAGTCCAATGTTTTCTGTTCAAGTCTAAGGTTCTTTGTCCAAATGATTACCAATCCTTGACAAGGGATAGACTAGGAGGAGTCTGGCATATATATTCATATTTTTTCATATTTTTTATTTATTTACTTGTGCCTCTGTACATATTCTGTCTTGTGATGGTTGTGTTCGCAACACTTAATGCTTCTGTACAATTAGAGATCATTCCAGCTTGGGCATTGTGTTGATGTTTATAACTGCATGGGAGTTGAACAAGATAACTGAATTGTGATCACGTTATGTAGACATGTTTTAATAAAATCTGTGAGTAAACTTTTGTCATAGCAGTGAATAGCCCAGAGGAAAGAATGAGGAGTGCATACCTTGAAGATGATATCATGTTGCATTCAAGATTATTGCACATAGGACCCGTGAAGATCTGGGTGGTCCGATGCTGACTTGATTGACACATGTCATCGTATCCCAGTTGTGTACTTGATGCTCTTGCTGTTGATCACTGGATTGTCCAGACTCGATTATTTGCAGACTGTCGCCATATAGCTGGAATATTGCTTGGTGCAACATTTAACAAAACACTTTCACAGTGACTCACAGACAAGCCTACCTCCAACTATTGTGTTAGACTGCAGGGCCCCGTTTCACAGTGACTCACAGACAAGCCTACCTCCAACTATTGTGTTACTGCAGGGCCCCGTTTCACAAAGCTATCGTAGCGCTACAACTGTCGCAAGTCTATGCTACAGTATAGGAGGTACCACAGTCATAGCGCTACGACTGTCGCAAGTCTATGCTACAGTATAGGAGGTACGACAGTCATAGCGCTACAACTGTCGTAAGTCTATGCTACAGTATAGGAGGTACGACAGTCGTAGCGCTACAACTGTCGTAAGTCTATGCTACAGTATAGGAGGTACGACAGTCGTAGCGCTACAACTGTCGCAAGTCTATGCTACAGTATAGGAGGTACGACAGTCATAGCGCTACGACTGTCGCAAGTCTATGCTACAGTATAGGAGGTACGACAGTCGTAGCGCTACGACTGTCGCAAGTCTATGCTACAGTATAGAAGGTACGACAGTCATAGCGCTACAACTGACGTAAGTCTATGCTACAGTATAGGAGGTACGACAGTCGTAGCGCTACAACTGTCGTAAGTCTATGCTACAGTATAGGAGGTACGACAGTCGTAGCGCTACAACTGTCGTAAGTCTTTGCTACAGTATAGGAGGTACGACAGTCGTAGCGCTACGCTCTTTGAAACCGGGCCCTGCAGTCTAATACAATACCTCTCAGACACAATTCATTGCTTCCAAGAAGGCCTGTCTTTGTTTGTGTCCTCAGTGAAGAGCACCTTCCACTCTGGGCAACACTCTATCCACGCCATCGAGGCGGTCTGTAGGTCATGAACAGAGGAATGCTGCTGGTGCCTTGTGTGCGGTCCATATTTGATCATGTACAGGCTGCAAGCGTTTGGTTTGGTTTGTTGTTAAATGCTGCACTCAGCAATATTCCAGCTATATGGCAGCGGTCTGTAAATAATCGAGTTGGACCAGACAATCCAGTGATCAACAGCAATCGGGATACGATTACATGTGCCAACCAAGTCACCAGGACTGTATGGAACATGTCAAAACCTTCTTTCACCAAAAATAAGCAAAAACAGAAGGTGGTGTTTATTCTATTGATGTTTTATTGTAGCAATGCTATGAGATTTGTACAGCTATGGCTGTCACAGCCATAAGGGAAAACAAGGGGTACAGAACCGTCACACCGACCGCGTCAGTATCTACAAATATAGATAGACTGGTGATGTGTCACTGACGAGAGGAGAAACTGACACATTGTCACAACACAAGAAAACTTCACGGAGACTGGGGTCATTTTCATTACCCAAAACTACAATATCTCATGTGACAATGTAATCGCAGCTACTTCATTCAGACAGGAAGTTGACACGTTTTCAACAGCAACAAAATAACTCCTTCCTTATCAACTGGTGTGCACTTGTAGAAATAACTACGGAACTGTACCGATGGTAAATGATTTCTTTATTGGTTTTATCAAGTTTTTATATTATTTATTGAGTGGGCAGCAAGTTTAAACACTCATGTTCAGAGTGGTTATCTCCCTTACCACCAACATTTTACTCATACCATTTTATGTCGTCTTCCTTTTGTAAAATTTGCCAGGTAATACAAACCTTACACTTTCTTGAAAAACCTTGAACTGAATCTGCCTGTATTAAAAGATTCTGTGGTACAACCATTATTCTTATATGTTTCAAGTGTTAACAATACACATCTCTATTTAGGCTTCACTGCAAAGAAATAAAGCCCCAAATGTGGATATATATGATTAGATTAGTAATCTGTGGCCTGAGATTCTTATCTTTCCTTTTAAAATCTTTGAACAAATCATTCTGCAAATGAGTCATCTTACTTCCACACAAACTTCAGAAGCAATTGATTGCAGACATATTCGTCTTGAGGGAAACATGAACATCTTCTGAAATTTTTACCATTTTGTGTAAATCCTAGTATCTATCTACATTAAATACATGAAACCATGTCTGCTAAAAGACTAACTGAAGTGGAACCGCTACAAAGAGGTAGAACTCACCTTTGAGTCTTCTGTTCCTAATAATGACAACATGAAAAAGCATGGGTTTTACCATCACAAAGATATAAATAAAATCTAACAGTATGAATCTGACAAGAGTACTACTTCGTTTCAATTGAATGATGGAAAATGTGTTTAAGAGGAAGAAAGCTTGTGAGACAAAAAAGAAAATTGGTGCAGAGGGCTGCTTTTTTTTAGTGTAACAAAGATGTGTCGAGATGCTTTATGAAGGTATTCTCACAAACAAGCAAGTACCAGAGAACAAACAGTTTTAATCCATCAACTACAATTTTATCACTGGGATACTTAAGCAAAGCATAGAAAACTAAAACAAAGAATTATTAAAATAAATGAAGCGTACCCAATGCCTATGGGTTGTTGAAGCTGACAGGCATCTTGAACTATCAGGCTTAAAATTGCATAGATTTGAACGAAATCTAATCTAAAACTTGGTTTATGCCATTGCAAAAGCGTCCTGTACAGACTGATGACTAGATTGAGTTTAGTTACTAAATCATGTGCTGATGAAATGAAATATATACTACTCATCTTTTGTCAGGGACATCCAATCAGCAAAACTTCACTCGCTTTGTACACACTACAGAACTCCCGCACCCATGAATACATACATGTATGATCTGCAGTGTAGTCAACAGTTGAGCTGACATGAAGCCAAGGTCTGGATTTAGTAGGGGTGGTGGGGTAGCCTAGTGGTTAAAGTGTTTGCTTGTCACACCAAAGACCCAGGATCTATTCCCTGTATTGGTACAATGTGTGAAGCCCATTTCTGGTGTACCCCTGACGTGGTATTGCTGGAATATTGCTAAAAGCAACGTAAAACTAAACTCGCTCATTAGTCTAGTGGTTAAAGTGATAGCCAGTCACGCTTAAGACCCAGGTTCGAATCCAGATATGCCTACAATGTGTGAAGCCTGTTTCTGGTGTCCTCCGCTGCAATATTGCTGGAAAATTGCTGAAAAATGTGTAAAACTGAACTCATTCAGGGTTTATAAGTGATGCTCTGATTGCATGCCACATCTGACAATTCATGCAATTGTGTCTGCACCCTGCTTGAATATCAGGCTAAGGTTGGGTCCACACACAGTTCAGGGCTTATTTGATGTCCATGAGTCAGAACAGATTCACATCCTTAGTCACAAATTATCTATCCAAAAGTCACCATATGTATTCATGGGCAATTGAGGAAGTAGTGCATGAGTCATGAACTACTGACATGTATATTTCCAATATATACTGAAAAAAGAGTTAGGGATCAGAAATACTTCTTGTAGTGAAGACAGAGTTTCTTAAAGGAATACGATACATCAGTTCACATCCCTAACTTGATTTGTTCAGCATACATCAAACTGATTACTTTCATGTAGTAAATAGCCTAATATACTCATTGTGAATTATCATCACATCCCTTTCAAAAGTGAAGTATTCTGAAATGCATTTTCAATCTGGAGGAAGAGTTAACCCAGAAAATGTCGCAGATAGTTTTTTGTGTTTGACAAGGGTTTAAAACAATTAAGAAAAATTAGTTCTTGACTCTAAAGGCTGGTAAAGAGAGATTCCAGGTGTTCTAACATGCATAGTTCCAGCACAAACATTTCGCCCCTGTGGTTTTTGGATACAGTACTGTTCTGTAGCTGTAATTTGGACGTATTTTGAATGTTGGTATATGGTTGAAAGCCCCATTTTTTTCACATTATTATTGTTCAACCAGTGGATCTAATTTTTTTCTGCTTACTGAAGTCCAGATACCAATTCAAATGTCCAGAAAAATCCAGTGATTGTCTAGCCACAGCTGGTATGTAATATCAGGCCGTACTGTTTACAAGGAGTAAAATGCTTCTCTCTATCTCTCTCTTACCTTCTCTCATTTATAACACTTTCTTTGAGCATTTTTATTTATACCTTTATAAAAAAGTATTTGTTGTTTTTAGAAAATTTACTTCATTTGACATGAACATACTTTTTTGCTTCCAGAAACTTGGCACTTTGACCAAGAATTCTCATAAAGCAAAAATATATACTGTCATATCTAAGCATAAGAGTACCTCCCCATATACTGTTTTAAATTTGGTGGGTATACGGTAACTTCAAGAATAAACATTCTTACAATGAAATATAATATTTCCATGAAGAAAAGCAGTTAAAACTTTTGAAAAATCCCATGACCATGACATTTTACTGGCTTGACCTTCACACTGCTGTGTGGTCATTTCAGAGAATATGTTATTGCTGTGATTCTTAAACCATCCCTGCATGTGAAGCAATGCAACAGACACTGACAAAAACAAAAGAACCATACATGCTAATGTCCCTACTTTCCTCACACTGATTCTCAACTCATGCAGCTTAATATTTATATTGAGGTGTACTGATCTACCAAACCTTAAATTTAAGAAAGTGAATTAAACATAAATACTGTTTAGCCTAATAATGACCCTTACAAAGCAAAACATAATTTTCTGACCAAACCAAAACCCCTAAACCAGATAACAGGACAAGCTTAATGGTCCATGAGTGGTGTGTTGCTTTGATCCTATTTAAATGGGATGAAATATTTATCATTCCTGTCACCTTTTACAAAAATATGAGAAAATATAGTGGAAAAAAACTCGTCTAACTGATCATATTTAAAAAAGAATTCTTTCTGATTTTAAGTTTTATTCTAACCACAAACCCACAGTTTTGAGAAAAAATTCAGTAAACCAATAAACTGGAAAAAAAAAGAGAGTCTTACCTGGATGATTTCTTTAATTGTTGTGTATCTCTAATGTGCTTCCATTTGGATCAAGTGCATGCTACTGACATCTTCTTAAATGCAGCTATTTCTGTAATACACAGTCAGTTGACCCTAGGCCTATCAGACATGCAGGTCACAGTGACATAATTACTCTCAAAACAAGAACAGAAATAAGCCTCTTTACATCAATCATGTAAAACAGCGTACCTGGCACATTAAGATTATCTTGTCCTTATGTAATACTGGTTTTACCCTCAATATTAACTCACAGACTCAAAACAGTTTTAAAATCATGAACTCTTTTTTCCTATCAAAAGAAGTTCAAATGATTAGTTCAAGATATGTAATCCTGGTTCCCGATCCACAAGACATTCGCAACCTTACGAACTGTTGTAACCTGTTGTAAACAAACAGTTTAGCATAGGCTTACTATAGTCCGTTTGGCTCAAAAGCGGACCGATGAATTGCAATCTAACTCGAAAACTAATAAACATAACATACTCAATGAAACGCTGATCATAATCAAAACATTATACCCACTCTGTCAGGTTTTTGCAGAATTTTTTGTCCTAAAAATAATAAAGTTGTTTAACAAACTATCATCATAATATCGACACAGTTCACTGTTTGTTACGAGGGAGGAGTGCAGAGAAAGGGAGAGCCAGGTGTTCGAGAAGCACGTTCACAGACAAAGTTATTTATTCATTAACCTGTGCTGTGCCGTCTCCATCCGTTCTCGAACACCTGGCTGTCCCTTTCTCTGCACTCCTCCCTCGTAACAAACAGTGAACTGTGTCAATATTTTAATGATAGTTTGTTAAACAACTTTATTATTTTTAGGACAAAAATTCTGCAAAAACCTCACAGAGTGGGTATGATGTTTTGATTATGATCAGCGTTTCATTGAGTATGTTATGTTTATTAGTTTTCGAGTTAGATTGCAATTCATCGGTCCGCTTTTGAGCCAAACGGACTATAACGTCGTAACGCTAAAAATGCTTTGTGGCTCGGGACCCTGATGTATCACTACATGTGTTCGCGACCCCCAAATGTTTTGAAATTGAAACTATAGAGATGTTGAAGAACGACAAAGACCATGTTCAGTGATAATAACATTCTAATTTTTATACACCAAATATTTCTATAGTCTCATTCATGTGGTTTACAGCAAACTCAATGGTGTTCCAAGAAGACATGTCTGTTAACATAAATATTACTAAAGAATCATAAAATTTTGTACATGCAAATATTTGGGTTTATAAAACAACTTTTGTGTAAAGTCTCAACAAAATTAAAAGCATAAAATGTCAGTGTAAAGTTCTCAATAAAACACATTCAGCGCAGTTTAAGATGCTTACAAGAAAGGCTGCACACACAGAGTAGCTATACAGCCTCAAAGGGGTACAATATATTGACACAAAACTGGTAGTGTTTCTACCAAACACAGAAATTTGCATAATTTCACGCTGATTACACAATGATACATAAAGGACCATTTCACTGTATTTCATCCAATATACACAGTAAGTGCACCTCAACAGCGTCATTAATGTTTAACATGTGATGGAACTCACAACAAAATAAAATACTGTAAAAAGATAGGAAAATTCACCTACTTTTCAATAGTTTAATTTGAATAAAGTTCAATGCAAGGCATGCACAGATGAAAACACTGTTTAGACTGTATTATACTAAACAAAATTAACCCTTAAATCAAATACAGAAATCACTGAATTTTACGAAAAAAATATCCCATACAGGTTTGTTTCATGATACAGCATTCCCGTATAATTATTACTAGGTTTCGAAAAATAGTTCCTTGACTTTTAAAATCTGCTGACTAGACAAAATGGACTGTTTGAATATAAAGTCCCTCATATCGAGACCATTAGACACAGACCAGGAGAAAATACCCGTTACGAGAAGTGAATTTGACAATCTTTCCCAGCAGGCCCCGAACACAACCGACAACACAATGAACAAACAATATACATTGGTCTATACATGACAAAGGGGTGTGTCTATATACAATCAGCAACATCCTTGTGAATGCTCAACACCCCAGCATAACCTTCCCAATTGCACAAAAACCGCTCGTGTATGCACCGCAGCACTACACCGACATAGAGATCACAATGCTACAACTAACAATCTTGTCGTAAGTTCGTCTAATTCACATCTAAATATATAGGAGGCAAATCCAGCTCAAGCGGTTCTGCTTGGTTCAACAGTGTGTGAAACTTGTTAATCAAGTGATTAGCTGTTTCATAAATAGCAAAATGGTAAATTTTCAGAAAATGTTACCAGTTTGGGGAAAGGATCATCTTTGAGATGTTTTTGAAACTACTGACAAAGGTGACAGGCATATATGTCTTCAATCTTTACATTTCAGAGAATAGTAAAAATCTTCGTTAAACAGCAACCAAGTAAAACTGAATTTTTAATAAAGAATGTATAGCCTAAGTGATAAGGTTGTTTCTTGCAGAATTGCCTCCCTTTGATAGAAACTTCACAGCAAAACACTTTCTTAGCCATTTTGTCCCTTTTTACTTCAAGCATTTGAATTTTTTTATTTCATCAATGCCTGTAATACTGACATCTCAAAACATATTTGAGACTTAATGGAATGCATTATCAATATGTTACTAGATCATGCTCAACTGACTCCCAATATTGAGCCTCAACATCCAACACACACTTGTAGGGATGCTGACATCAACAGCATCGATACTCACGAGACTCATTATTGTCTTCTAGAGGGGAACATGTACAACTGCGTCAAGTTTAACAGTTCACCACAGCATACCATAGCAGTTTGGTACTCCACAGTTCTACTCCTTCTATCAAACCACTATATATATACATTCATCTCTCTAAGGGTAAACTCATCAACCCTGAGAGAAACAGACTGATACAAACAGTTTTAATCTCAATCTCATTATGAACATCCTTTGAGACACTGGGAACTGAACACAAACTACACAGAGATATCTAGTTTTTCTGAAGTGGCCATTTTGAATTTGAGGTTTGGCAGCCATTTTGAATTCGAGGTGGGGCAGCCATTTTGAAATTAGAATCTGCGTTCTGGTGTCACCATGTATGTTTAGGTTTTGGTGGAATTTAATCACTGAGACAGTATATGGAGCTATGGTGATGTCATATTTTACACACAGAATATTCCTGCTAGCATGTAATGCATAAGGAACAGGTAGTCTTCATTCACAACAGAAATACAAAATATGTGCTTCAGTATTCTGTCAATTTGCATTGTACAAATCTATATGAAAATACCCCATTTGAATGATCTACTGTTACAAAGAGACAAAACACTCTACACTGCAAGTTGAAACAAAAGTAGTTCTCATGACGAGCTGGAGTGGGACAACACTTACACCTGGTAAGAAATCAAAACTGAGGCATGGGAATCCTACCGAAGACAAATTCTGCAACTGTCTGGGTAACCATGGCAACAGCAAGCTTAAAACATGAACACGAAGACCAAGGGCCCGGTTCCACAAAGAGAGATTAGAGCCATGACAATTGTAAATCTGTTAGGGTATGGAGTTACAATTGTCCAAGGGCTAAGATTTCTTTGTGAATCAGGGCCCTGGTCCTTGGTATCCGATGATATGATATACTGAACTATGCTACCTTCACTGCGGGAATCAATGATGACAGATACAGTCACTGCTTCAGAACCAAATATCTTTGAAGAAGAACTTACAAACAGAACTTCACTGAACCCATGACAGTTCTTGGCATGATATGAAGAAATTTAAACCTGTATAATTATTATTTGATATAAGGACATAATCTTCAATATATGAATCTGAATAAGTAATATGTATGCTCTGGGTGTCAGAAACATAACCCTGAAGTATTTCCTATTGTTTCTGTTCAACAAATCTTATGAAACGTTTTTAATTACCATGTAGAGAGGTGAACCTATCATGTAGGAGTTGGGCAGTCTGTGATAGTTCTGTTTGATCTTGTTCTGTTGATAAATTATTTCTCTAACATCCTGGATTCATGGCATGGGCTACCTCAATGCCAACGTAGCAATGCATTAAGCCAACCTACAAGATATTGTTTCCTTACTGATTAACAAAAATGCAACATAGGCTAACATAAAATCAGCTTTGAAGTAGCAGACAATATCAAGACTTGGACAATCTAGGGGTGCCATGGCTGGACTGTTGGAGGACATTGTGGTGGCTGTGTCCGTCTGCTTCAAGATGACCTTTGGTGTGAGGAGCAGACGTCAGACTGGTAGGCAGGCTGCGAGTTCCGAGAATAGCAATTTGCGATGTGTTTTGGAGGTGAAAGGCGTATGGTACATCTATCTACACAGGACGTAGTGGTGGTGTCCACGTACACTCGCCACCAATAAATTATGCCTCTATATATAATACAAGGGACTATGTACATGACACTCCAAGCCCCCTACCACCTCCTCTGTCCAACTGATGGCCGCCGACTACATCAAGTGATGGGCCAACAGCTGGACATCTGACCTATGGTCAGAAGGACAATTAATGGAGATGGTTTTGACTACCCCACACAACACGCCAAAGCTTTCAACCAAACAAAAGCTTCATTCTGTTCACAGATAAGTTTTCACACTACCTGGATTGAGATTGCTTCAAAGAAAGAAAGGGAAATATATTGTATTATAAACAGTGAGTGAGTTAATATTTAACGTCACATCGGCAATATCTCAGTATTAAAACAGTCTGCTGTTAGACTCGACTAGCCAAGATATTGCTTGATTTGCTTTACAGTTGATTGTATAAAGAACATAGAAACTTCATGAGTGAAATAACAAACTTGTTCAGTGTCTGAACTTGGAGATTGTAAAAGCGTTTTGCTGAATAGATGAAATATTCCAAAAACATTTATCATTGAAAATGTCTTTATCCACCAGAATACTTCAGTTCTAGGTCACTCACTCACCTCACCATATAGCTCTGAACAGGTATTTAGGTTGCTGTAGAGAATCTGAAGCCTTCATTTAGGTTAAAAACCTTGACCTGTAAGTGAGGCGCGTTGTATTGAGAGGATGAGGATGAAAGTGGGGATGGGCATACACGTGGGCGGGCTTATGTGCGGGTATATACTGTAGCAGAACCACTGGCAGCTACACCAGCATTGGGGGCAGTGTCGTTGCTTGGCACACCATCTTGTGCTGCAGAGAGATAAGGTCAAGGTCATCATTCCAGAAAACAACAGTTCACACCTCCACATACATTTCGCATGACAGCAAAGTTACAAATGTCCAAATCATGTATAATACATATGACCAAGACTATACACACGTCTGTCTGTGAAAGGGAAGGGTTCTCTGCATGATCAATCATCTATATCAACACATCTACCAGGTATATAGACACACTTTGTAGCAATAACTTACATTACTCAATAGTACTACAGCTGCCCACCCACAATTGCTTGCACATGTAAAAGCTGAACATCTTTGTTTATTTTGGAAAAGTTTTGCTTACAATGGTCAGCCTTTGTTCCACAAAAATTAATGAATATTTTTCGAAGTATTTTTGGTTTCAGGCAATCTACATACTTTGAATTTTTTAATGCAAAATCAACCATGTCTGTGATAAGTTCTGTGGCCATTTTCATTTAGTTTATTCACCTTTGGTTACTTAAAAAAATGAAAAGATTCCATATTGAAAGGCACAATAAAGGTAGCTCTCTGTAAATGCTATGCGGCTTGTAGACACCAACCTAGTCCCAAAGTTACAGAATGAAGGGCACATCTTTGTTTCATAGCAACAGAATTCATTTGATTTTGAAAGAATACTAATTTTACAGTTATACAGAACAATTGTACAGGTAACAGCTTTGTAGTACTATTGCAGAATGTTACCTATGATACAGTATTTAAATTAAAGAAATAAATCCAGTCAACTGTAATTAAACCCCTGTACCCTATTTGCAACCATAGCTTGGTTGTGAACTCAATATAAACAACAAGATGCAAAGCATAATCTAATCAAATGTTTCATGACTGAGACCATCTATGCCAATGAAGTTATAAGATCTTTGGATGAAGATGGAGATATCTTTCCAAAACCAAAGCTATGGTGGTAAATAGTCCTGGGCCTAGATTTTCAAAGCTCTCTTAGCGCTAAGATAGTCGTAAGTTAATGTTGATGTATGGCACTTACAACTATCTTAGCGCTAAGAGAGCTTCGAAAATCTTCTTCTTCTTTTTTTTTTTTTTTTCACAGAAAACGCATTTCACGAGTATTTACAGTATACATTTTCGGGATTCAAACATTTTTTTAAATTTATGATGGAAGCCTGTATTCTGCTGTTCGAAAAATCTAGGCTCTGGGTATCATAATAGAAAGGTGATTATAATACCCTGGATTGCCAAAGATGATCTACAGGATCAAGTCACAGTATGGCACTGTCACTTTCAGTAGTTTCTAATCAATGATATTGTAGTTATGACTAGTTTATAACTGATGCTAAAGTCTTGCAACTCTTCATAATGATCCAAACCCATGAACACTAAAGACTTGCATCGAGACGACACATTTGGATATCTAACATTGTCATGGTGTTTGTTCAACACAAGGTATACAATAACACAGGCATCAATAGTCAACACAAATCAACCAGTTTTCATCTTGTCAACCAGACAAGAACATTGCTACTCACTTTTACTTGTATGGTTTTGCATAGCTCTCTGTCGTTCTCTATTCTCGTATTCCATTACTTCATTGTATATCAGACCTGAAAATAAACGAACTGGTGAATTAGTTAATTTGTAAACTCACAAGTCAAAAGTAGAGACTGCATACGAACGGTCACATGCTTCTATCAGCAGCAAGTGAGTGAGTGAGTGTGAGTATGGTTTTACGCCTTTTTTAGCAATATTCCAGCAATATCACGACGGGGAACACCAGAAATAGGCTTCACACACTGTACCCATGGAGGGAATCGAACCCCCGGGCTTCGGCGTGACGAGCTATAACCATTTGGCTATCCCACTGTCCCCTTAAATGAGGTGAGGTGAGGTGAAATTGGGTTTAACGTCGTACTTGAGAATATTTCGCCCATATGACGACGTGCATGCGTGTGTATGTGTATGTGCGGCTGCTTGTACTAGCCCAGATTTAAGCTGGTTTTATAGTGCTAGCCCACTGAGATACCATGCCGCAGTGAAGCATGAATACCCCACTCAGACACATTATACTGACTCCGAGCTGACCAGTCCTTGTACCCATTAATGCCGAGCACCAGGAAGGGACCAACAAGTACCATATTTTAACGTCTTTTGGTATGACGCGGTAGGGGATCGAACCCGCGACCTTCCGCTCTCAAGGCGGACGCTCTAACCACTAGACCACGGAGGCGGTCCCTTAAATGAAAGCACATTTCTAAGAAAGTGTAAACCCAAACATCACATACGTTCCATCTGACCCCTTCCTAACATGCACTGCGTATGTGAGGGCAGTGCGTCCTACGATCAATTGCTGACATTCTAAGCTGAGTATTACCTTTCCACTCTTCAACCGAATGTTCCTTTTCATCTACCGAGTGGTCATAAGGATCAGGGGCAGGCTGGAACAAGAACCGTTCTCGTCATTACTAAGCTGACTAAATACACACCTTCACATATACACATACCTTGACAAATGTAAACTAGAAAGATAGCGAACACAGAAATGCATCATTTCAACTGATTATCTCAAAAATCAATCTTTTGAATATAACTTCACATTTTACCCATTACTTCCCACACTTGAACAAAATATAGGAAGTTTATTTTGAAAAAAGTTCTTATATGAAAGTAATACCTGTATATCATATTCAATAACGAAACCAAAACAAATATGCTTGCAAACTAATGAACTTCCAGGGTTTCTTGTCATATGAATATATTTTTGTCATCACGTTAATTTGTTTCAGCTGCCTAAAGAGTGAATCATGGACTGGCCTTTCCTTGATCACCTAGTGTACAAGATCTTCACTCTATCATGAGAAATATCCTGGACCAATTCACCACCAAAGATTTCTTTGACATCCTTATCTCAATTACTTGAATCCTTAAAGTAGTACAGGATTTCTCCTGTTCATGAGTGAATGAATGTTGTTGGGTTTAACAAGGGAAGCATGCCCAAGGGAAGCAAATCTTCACACCAAATAACGACACCACATGATCCCCTCTCTCTCCCTCATGCTGACTGACTGACTATGGTTTTATGCTGCTTTTAGCAATATTCCAGCAATATCACGATGGGCTAGGGGACATCAAAACCTGGGCCTTCGGCGTGATGAACAAACACTTTATCCACTAGGCTACCACATTGCCCTTCCTTCTCTCCTTCATGAGTGTAATCTGAATAGACAGCTGTGTTCAGCTGCACATTTATAAAATTCAACGAAGCTAGTAAATGGGTCCAGATTATTTAAATGAACAGGGTGAAGATATAATACACTGGATAATGGGGAATGGACCTGGCCTCACTGTACCCAATCTTCCACTTCTCGCTAAATACTTACAGCATTGACTTCTCCATCATCGTACCACACGTTAATGTACGGATGCATGAGGGCATCATCCACTGATATCCTTCTCTCAGGGTCAATCACCAGCATTTTGGACAGGAGGTCTCGTGCCATGCTTGCACGGAGACCAGGGTGCTCAGTACTGTCCGGCGGGAACAGTACATCGGGGAACAGTCTCTCGAAGGATGACCCAGCATGCCGAGGTCGATTTTCCACATAGTTCCTCACCGTTGATTGTAATCTGTTCATAAAGTCTTGACTTGGAGTACCTAGCTGTTCAATGATTTTGTTCCACTGATCGATGTCTTGATAGAGTTAAGGATGAAATATTTCAAAACTGTTAAGTGTAAGATCACAAAACAGAGTGATGTCATGAGCTGGTGAGTACAACCAGATCCCATTCAAGTCATTAGTCAGCTCTTATTAATGTTAATTAACGTTCACACACTAAGTATGCTATAAGCTACAAGATTATTACCAATGGATCAGTATTCATATGATTTTCATTTTCAGCTCCCTGAGGAATATACAGTAAAAGCTGCCTGTGAGGTGCTAGAAGTTTAACATATCATCACATACCATCAGTTACGCAATCACTGCATGGTAAAAAAGACACCTTTTAACAACTCCTAAGGATACATACATCTTAATACTCAGTAATTGGGGCCTGTTTTAACTCAGGAAGTGTTCTACATCCATCTACCCAACTGGAATACGATAACCTGTCAACCAAGTCGCCTCTTACAACAAGCATGGGTTGCTGAAGACAGATTGTAACCCAGATCTTCATGGGTCACACATCTTAGGTAATAACCAGCCAGTACAATACAGCATCAATGACGACGTGAAGGATACGGTCACTGCCAGGAAACATGACAGTCCCTCGTATTAACTCGGCCATGATGCAGCCCACTGACCAGATGTCCACTGAAACACAGACAACATGAAGATGTGAACACAGACTGGAAGGAAGTGGAACATACGTAAGGAAACCAAGACAGATAGTTAATGTCATGATGAACTGTTAAATTATAATATACTACCTTATAAACTACAGATTTATGTAACATGTATTTTACTGTCTCATAAAAACATTTGCAACATGATATTTCATTGAAACACAATTTACTTCAGCAGCTGAAAGCTTGCAAAGGAATAATTTTAAAACCGATGAAAATGTCATACATTAAAGTTATAACAAACTTTGTATGAAAATATCAGACATGTTAAGTTGCTGACAGCTAGTCTTTCACATTTTATTCACTCCCAAAAGATCTTTCTGCTAATTGCAACCATTTTGCTACAAACTACGGCTGATTGTAAGGGTTGTTGTATCTCACCGTTTGCCTTGTATCCCATTCCTAGGATGACCTCTGGCGCGCGGTAGTACCGTGTCACTACATATGGCGTCATCATGAACCCAGTGCCAGCTGTCCTTGCAAGACCAAAGTCCAATATCTTTAACGTACAATCTGATTTCACCACTATATTGCTGGGCTTTAGGTCCTGAAAAAAACAACAGATGAATTATTTTGTATCAAGTGTCCATTATCTGTGTTACATTTTTTAAACGGCACAGACAATGACTCAGCAGATTTAAAATCACTGCAATTTGTACAGACTCAAACCTGAGCCTAAAGTAGAGAAATGAACACACTTCCTATTGGGCTATCTGACTACCACTTAGTTACAATTCTTAACCAATTGGGAATCAAAACTAGTTCTGGGGAAGATGACTGACAACATGTCCATTGACTGTTCTACATTTCTTAATTGTTAAAACCTCAAAGTTTTGGGAATTCTACTATAACATGAAGCTGTTGGAATCAAACTTGGCCCAGTTGCATTAGGGTGAACACAATACCTGTTGGGCTGTTCTACATTTCTTAATGGTTAAAACCTCAAAGTTTTGGGAATTCTACTATAACCTGAAGCTGTTGGAATCAAACTTGGTCCAGTTGCATTAGAGTGAACACAATGCCTGTTGGGCTGTTCTACATTTCTTAATGGTTATAATCTCAAAGTTTTGGGAATCAAACATGAGCTCTCGTGTTTATGGCTATCCATTTTTTATAGCTTGAAGCTGTTGGGAATCAAACTTGGCCCAGTTGCATTAGAGTGACCACACAGCCTGCTGGGCTGTTCTCCAGATGAGTACAACCTCACTGCATACAGCAGGAAGTGATGGGAAGCAAACCTGGGCTTAGCTAGTACTCAACGACCTGGGGTTCCTTTCACGAAGCAACCTTTACTAAGGTTAACCTTAACTCCCATTCTCCAACATTGCACTAAGATTACCATAGTGACTTACGATCACCTTAGTGCTTTGTGAAAGGAGTCCCTGGACCTGTTGGGTATCAAACCTGGCTGGGCCATAGGTAAGTGAACACACTGTCTACTGGCTTTCCCAGCATCACAGACTGATCTGGCCATGAACTCACCCTGTGTATAATCCCGGCAAGATGGAGATGTTTGATGCCACACAACATTTGATATAGAAGGTAAGACATGCGTTCATGGTCCAGGTCCATCTGTATCACCTGGCATAGATTGGCATCCATCAGTTCCATTACTAGATACCTGCAACATAAAGCAACACATGACACCCTTATAGGATTCATTGAAGGCAGGCCAACCATGAGTCTAGGAATTAATTTGCCCCTGGAGTCCTAGCTCATCCTAGCTGTCTTTGATTTGCTGTGCCTATGACAATATTATCCTGATTGTCTTTTATTTCCTGGGACTATGACACTCCCATGACACTCTCACCCCACACCCAAAATACTCAACCTCATCGACTTCAAAAGAATCATTTATGTTATTTTGAAACCCGTGAAGATCCAAGTTAGAATTGATCTTCAGTAACCCATGCTTGTCGTAAGAAGCAACTAATGTGATCAGGTGGTCAGGCTCGCTGACTTAGTTGACATGTCATCGGTTCCCAATTGCGTAGATCGATACTCATGCTTTTGATCACTGGATTGTCTGATCCAGTCTTGATTATTTACAGACCGCCGCCATATAGCTGGAATATTGCTGAGTGCGGCGTAAAACTAAACTAAACTCACTCACTCACTGTACATTTTGATCTAACAAAAAACCGTTTTAAGCATAGCAAACATGTAATTTTTGGAGTAAAATTGATATTTTATACTTATCCTGACTCATGCTCTTTTTGCTTGTCTTCTTCTTCTTGCGAACATAGTGGAACACTTGTATCTCCCTAATTGAAGCTCCCTTCAATTTAAAATCACTAATTAGTATTCACCACGAGTTACCTCCTTTCCCTGGCCAGCGGGGAGCGAGGCCACCTCTACCCATGTGCCTCACTCTCTCCTCATATACTGAGCCCAACATTTGAATTTACAGGAAATCCAAAGTGTTATTTGGGGAGGATGGGAGGGCCTGACCTCATGAGTCAGGATAAGTATAAAATATCAATTTTACTCCAAAATTACATATTTTTCCTTATCCTGACTCATGCTCTCTTGCTTGTAGCATCCTACACGACGGGAGGTGGGAATATCTAATACTTTGGATTTTTAATAATTAGTGATTTGAACTGTGATGATTGTAATAACCCTATGGGAACTTCATAAAGGCACTGAACTGATGAATTCCTGCTGCTAACTTATCAGCTGCCATATAAAGGTTATTACCATGTACTTATTATGATAAAGTATATATAACATTAATACAATGCTTAAGACTAATAGACTTAAAGCTTGTTAATATGCTAGTATAAACTCCTTAGAGTTTGTTAGCTAAAATACTTTAAGATATAACATAGTACTAAGCTTAAGATATGATTAAACTTAAAGCTAATTATATAATAGCAAACTCTTTAGAGTTTGTTGGTTAATATACTTATATGATATAGATATAATGCTGAGCTTAAGATATGAATAAGCTTTAGCTACATATATAATAACAAAAACTCTGTAGAGTTTGTTAGCTAATATATTTTTATAATATGAGTATAGTACTGTGCTTAAGCTATAATTAACTTAAGCTACATATATATATTAGCCAAACTCTGTAGAGTTTGTTAGCTAATATATTTTTATAATATGAGTATAGTACTGTGCTTAAGCTATAATTAACTTAAGCTACATATATAATAGCCAAACTCTGTAGAGTTTGTTAGCTATATATATTTATAATATTAGAATAGTACTGAGCTTAAGATATAATTAACTTAAGCTACATATATATAACAAAACTCTGTAGGGTTTTGTTAGCTAACATATATTTTTTACAATATGAGTATAGTAGTGTGCTTAAGATATAATGAACTTAAGCTACATATATAATAGCAAAACTCAGTAGAGTTTGTTAGCTAATATATTTTACAATATGAGTATAGTATTGTGCTTAAGATATTATTAACTTAAGCTACATATATAATAGCCAAAACTCTGTAGAGTTTATTAGCTAATATGTTTATAGTGTAACCATAGTACTACTAAGCTTAAGATAAAGATTAGACTTAAGCTAAATGTATATAGCAAAATAAACTCCTTAGAGTTTATTAACTAATATACTTTTTATGTTAAAACATAGTACTGAGCTTAAGTTATGATGAAACTTAAGCTATATATATATATAATAACAAAACTCCATTAGGGTTTTGTTGGCTATCTGCTATAATGTAAACATACTGCTTAAGATATGATGAAAACTTAAGCTAATTGTATAATAGAAAACAACCCTTTAGAGTTTGTTAGCTATGATATAAACCTAGTATTGAGCTTATGAAGGAAAACTTAAGCTACATATATAATAACAAGAACTCCGTAGAGTTTGTTAGCTAATACATGTTATAATGTAACCATAAAGCTTAAAATATGATGAAACTTAAGCGAAATATATAATAGCAAAACCCTCTTTTTAGAGTTTTGATAGCTAATATACCTATATGATATAAACATAGTACTAGCTTAAGATATGAATAAGCTTAAGTTACATATATAATAGCTAAAACTCTGTAGAGTTTGTTAGCTAATACATGTTATAATATAACCATATTGCTTAGAAATATGATGATACTTAAGCCAAATAGCAAAAACTCTTTAGAGTTTGTTAGCTAATCTACTTATATGATATAAACATAGTACTAAGCTTAAGATATGAATAAGCTTAAGCTACCTATATATAATAGCAAAACTCCTTAGAGTTTGTTAGCCAATATATTTTAATAATATGAGTATAGTACTATGCTTAAGGTATAATTAGCTTAAGTTACCTATATAATAGTAAAACTCAGTGAGAGTTTGTTAGCTTAATTAACTTAAACTATGTATAAAATAGCCAAAAACTCTGTAGAGTTTGTTAGCTAATGCATTTATCATGTAACCATGAGTATTACTCTTAAGATATGAATAACTTAAGGTAAAAATATATATAATAACAAACTCTGTAGAGTTGTTAACTTATATATTGTATGATGTAATAATCATAGTACTGTGATGATAAAAGGAACTTAAGTAAATTATATATGCATGAAGCTATTTAGTATTGTTATAAGATAAGTAAAATCTGTTAGATTGACTTATCTTCTCCGAGAACTTGTCAGCTGTTGTCTGAGGACCATGGGATCAGAATTGGTGTATACCTGAGGGCGTCCTCGGTGGTGATATCTCTCAGATAATGGTTTGCAACCACCATATCGGTTCCAGAGAATAAACCCTCCATTATTTCAATCACATTTGTGTAGAATAAATGTAGAAGTTAAGCTATAATATCATGAGTATTAAGCTCATGGAGGGTCCGGAATAGGTCCATCCGCATATGCACGTAGTATGACAGTTCTGATCCAAATGGAGATATAGTACATGAGACTTCACTCTCGTAGAAGTTGATGATAGAGGAAATAATCTGTTGCATTTTTTTTCCTCCTGTTTGGTTTGGTGGAGATAAATTTACAGTGCTCTTGCTGGCCATCTTGATAGAATCATGCGTATCATGGGGTCCAAGTATGTCATCGAAGCGTGTTTATAAACCTCACTTGTGAGTGTTGAAACACTATATTCATATCCCCAGGTTGAAGTGAAATTTCCGTTTTATTCTCCAAGCAGAAGTTTAGTAGGTTTACTACCATCTAGTTGTGTTGAGTCGGGCGATGAAATTCAGCTGTAGTCTGAAAGCTGTGGATTTAGATCCCACTTGTATCTTTCGTCTAGGTAATTAAACTGCGAGTCCTTGGCGATGTAGGTGCACAACCAGGTGTGTCTGTCCTCGTTGAACTTTATGTAAAATCGCCTGACTGCCGATCCTAAGTCTTAACTTGACAGGGAGGTCTCTAACTGAAGAAAGGCAGTCTAATCATGAATGTTCAGGTTAACTGGACTGTATGAGGCTTGCTCGTTCACTGATATATAGTTGTCACTTGTGGCGTAAGTCTTGAACTGTGAATAGAGATGCGACCTCTGTGTGTAGGTCGTTGTCCCTCAGTCCAATCAGAACAAAAGGCATTTTGATTCTGTATAATACCAGCTGTGATGTCACGGTGTGGCGAGAAAAAAACCCACCTTGAATAAATTCTTGTGGAAATCGTTGATATTAGCATAAGCGTCGGTCTTCACCGTAGCTTCCGAAGTTATCCGGTGACCCACGTGTTTCGAGGTTAATGGTAACCTGCTTGAAACCTCCGGCCTGAAATATCTCGCTCTGTAATTTTATGCTGGGTGAGTTATTTTCCTGGTTGTGTCATTAGAAAGTAATTTCAGTTTTGAATATAATTCCGACTTCCTTATATATAAAAGGGTATAAACAACTTGCAAGTTGTGAGCTTGTAAGAAGTGTATACATGAATGTATGCGTCATAATTGTAGAATTAACGTTGAACTTGTTGTACATATTTCTTCTCAGAAACTTTGGCGATTAAGAGTTATACTACCAGCTGTAACAAGAGCTGCTGTTCAATTTGATATTGAATTGTCTGCAGATATGCGTAATGGTCACATGTAGATAATCGTATAAAATCGTCGGGGATTGTTATATTAGCAATTTATCACGGAATAGTTGATTTCTGTGAAGATCTATGAAATGTAGTTGACTAATAATACAGCGGCGTTCTGTGTTGTAAATAGCCTGAGCAATTATCTTAGCGTGAGCTTATAGGCGGCATCTGGCATACAGTTGATAATCAACTTATCTGCGGCGTCTTGAGCGGACTGACCAGTAGCTATATATGGCGAGTGGCTGATATGGAAACCTTGGAGGAGACTTCACCGGTGAGCGCCGGAGGAACTTCGAAGTTCTCGAAGTATCCCTTCTAGATCTTCTGGGTGAAGTAGACTTGGAGCCGCTTAGCCTTCAGCGACCATCAGCGAAGGTGTCGAAATCAAAGCCGATTAGTATATATATATATATATAAATATATATATATATGGCTTTGCCGTGAACAGCCTCTGTGTTTAACAGGATGTGGGATCGTGGCGCTTACCTAAAATAGGGCATATGGATCATCTTATCATATTCAGAAGTTAGGTGTTACGAGAAGTCTGGTGATAAGTGTCTAATTGATCGTTCTAGATCTATTTAGGCCAGCGAACATCGTCTCGTCATGGATTCAACAG